CCCCCCCCCCCCCCCAGACGGTGTGCATAAGGCTAACAATCCGGTCATGTAAAAAATTAATGTTACAAAAGCCATAAAACCCTGACTGATACCAATGGAAATCGGCCTATTCCTGGATACGGATATGATTTTTGGATTGCGACCTGAAATGCACTAATGAAGCCTATTTAGAGTATGAGCCTTAGCCAACCTAGTAAATCAACTGGTTAAATAAAATGACTCAAAGGCAGACCTAGGCTTGGATGGATGATGTGGAAAAAGATCTACAACAGCTGGGAATCCAGGCATGTAAAAGAAGAGCACTATAGTTAGGTCTAAATGGATGGAAGTAGTGAGGCAGCCCCAAGTGCTACATGGGCTGTAGCGCCACAGGGATGGATGGATATATGAACAGTGGGGAATCTGTTGCAGTGTTTTTTTTTTTGTAATTACTATTTTGAAGATTGAAAGTCAAAAATGAAAATTTTGCTTTTCTCTGGCATGCCACATTTAAGCAAATTTTTAAAAAAATATTTGTTACTCTTTTTAAAATTATTTTTTAAATAGAATTTATGCTGCTTGCTAACGAAGGCTTCTTGCCAAGTCAATTGTTTCGTCCTTTTTTTTCAGCTTTTCCCCTACCTTCTACTACATATCTACTTCATTTAATTTTTACATGATCCGAGTATCAGAGACGAAATGGCTAGAATTAATAGTGTGTCCCTATATTAAGCTTGAGAAACTAATTTAAATAAATAGAGTTATGTAGAACGTGATGCCTCCACACAATCCCTTGTAGAAGCGGACAGAAAAAGAGGTATACAAAGATTTACACTTAGTCATTTAGTCACTTTATTAAAAAATTCAAATCAGATAGGCCTACACATATTTCGGAAATACATTTTTTTTATTGAGGCATTAGACTAATTTATTTACTTCAAACGTTAAAATAAAATAAAAACACCAGTATGGAAAGTACGATGCCTCAATGTACTGGTATAAAAAAATGGCTATTTCTAGATAACAATTTTTTTTTTTTTTTACAGTACAGCCAGTGCTCGACTTACGATCTATGCAACTGACGACCATTCGACTTTACGACCACAATGACTAACCATATTAGTATTAGATTTAAGATTTATTTTTGCCCCAACTGCTGCCTTGGATGATGACATTAATGATCTGCCGCCAAGCACCAGTGGCCAATATAATGTTTCGTACATGTTTATAAATTATGATGTTAATGACCATTTGATGTGTTTTGCGAATGGGAAAATTGTTGTGAGCGAGAGTTGTTGTGAATGTTGGGTAGGGGCAGTTGTGGATCGTGAGTGTTTTGTGAGTTGTTGGTCGAGAGGTCAGAGCGTGAAGTTAGTCCGTGGTGTGGCATGTTTGCGTAGGCTGAGCTGTTGTGTGGTTTTAAAAAAGGGATGTGTGTTAGCTAGAGGTCAGCCCGGGTCAGTGAGAGACAGGGAGAGTGTTAGACAGTCAGAGTTAGTCAAGAGTTAGTTGGTTGTTAGTCGTGATAAGAGAGAGAGTGGTAGTTGGACTGATGAATGTTCCACGCTCTATATATATTGTCATTAAATAGCAGTATCCTGTTTTATGAAGTATCGAATAAAATATTATATATTATTGTTACAATTGACCTCTTGCGTTCTATGTGAGAGATAGTTGAAGCTTAACCAAGGTTGTAACATTTGAAGTTACGAAGAAGGTCGTAACAAAAATGTTTCCTATAGTATTTTCCACACCTGTATTTTGTATGTTTTGCAAATTTTAAACCAGTTGTACGACATGTTTTGCTGCGTTCCTTTTTTTTCAGGTTTAACCCTACTTTGTTTTACCCATGTCATATTGTACTAACCTGATTGCAGTCTCTCCACTTATTACCACTATCTGCACCACATCGTCAGCGTTCTAATGCCTGTGTGGAGTGGGCTTACTAACTGCTGCCTCTTTATACTATGATATGAGCGCCGCATGCCTCTTTTTCCAGGAGTGGGGCAATTGTTTATGTATTTTAATTTAAGTTTTGTGATTTAGTATTTTATTGTTCTCAATACTAGTTGTATACTATTTAATTTAGTTATTTCAACAACAACAACAAAAGTGTGAGATTGTCATCTGTTATAAGTTATATTTCGCGTGCGCCCAAGCAGAGGCATAGCTAGAGGTTTTAGAGTCAGGGGACAATTTTTTACACCCCTCCCCCTCCATAATGAAATTATTATTTTCATCAATAAAATAATATCAAAGCCCAATTGAATTTGACACCACCACCAGCCTGGTGCTAGGGTACATGCCCTCCATGTGTTTTTTTTCAGAAATTTCCCCCCGGAGGGGGGCACTTCAGATTTTCGGGGGGCTATGCCAGTTGCCAGTGGCCAAAGGCGTAGCCAAGGGGTGCCAGGTGGGTCATAAGTCCCGGGGCGCCAGACTTACGGGGGGGGGGAGGCAAAAATGAGCTTCGGTGGACTTATTTAATTGAAAATAACCGAGGTGGAGGGGGCGTAAAAATGAATCTTGACGCCAAACACTGTAGATACGTCACTGCTAGTGGCGTCGAAAGAGGGCGGGTGGAGAAGCCAAGGGGTGCCAGGTGGGTCATAAGTCCCGGGGCGCCAGACTTACGGGGGGGGGGAGGCAAAAATGAGCTTCGGTGGACTTATTTAATTGAAAATAACCGAGTTGGAGGGGGCGTAAAAATGAATCTTGACGCCAAACACTGTAGATACGTCACTGCTAGTGGCGTCGAAATAGGGCGGGTGGAGTGGTCCACCCAGGTGTCAATTTTTCTTTATATGCTGGGGTGGCCTTTTCGGACAACTGCAGAGTTTGAATCGTGAAATGGAGGACGGCAAAAATATTTGGCCGCTCATGGCAGCCTTAATAGTAGCTACGCCACTAGGCAGTGTATCTATCGATCCCAAAATCGGTGATCATTTTCATTGAGAAGTAGGGCGAAATCGATGGCGCCGATGAATCTTGATCGGTGGAGGGGGTTTTGGGGAGCTTTCTCCCCAGAAAATTTTTGATTATTTCAAAATCAAGAGGTATATATTTGAGTATACTTGAATTCGATGTTTATATTATACCTTTTGAACAGGAAAGAACATTTTTAAAGTTTTGCGGGAGGCATTATTTATCCCAGTGCCTTATATAAACTGAATGCAGGGGTGCATTGTATTGGCGCATAATTGAATTTGTTGTTTCTTTCAGACAATTTTGAGGTGGCATTTCAAACTTTCTGGTAGGAAATGGCAAAATTAGCCATAATAATGACCAAAGACATCTTAAATTTCACACCAGCGGGACGTTAACTATATTCACACTAGTTGTGTCCCCCTTGAGGGTACGATTTAGCTCTAGATTATTCTCGCCCTTTAATTCATTATAGTCCCCAGAATTTTTTTATAAATTCAAAATACAAGAATGCATTTTCACATATCTAAAATTGGTTTTGCAACATTCGACACTTAATTGATGAGCAACGAAAGATATCCTAGTTAAAAAAAATATAGGTGCCACTTAACCGTAGAACCATCGTGTGCGCCCAGCAACCCCTACGACTGAAGGGTGTCTCGGATATTTTAAGGGGCTTAAAGATGTGATGAGGATATTTTCTTAATTATCATCTTTCCATGCAGGGCTGTCAAAACGGAAATAAAATAGCAAGACCTGCTTGTTTTATGGAAAAACCAAATTAAAATAATTATTTAACTAAAAACAGTAATGTGGCTTTTATTTTGTATTTATATTATTTTTAGGGATAGCTTCTTGGTTAATAAAATTAAATGAATTTTCAAAAAACAAAATCCATTACAAAATATTCCATCGCTAAAAAGCAATGCAAACATTATTTTATAAGATGAACGCACATGAAAAAACAAACTTTCTTATAATTATTATTATAATGCTTTGACTAGCTTTTCTAAATATGTCATAATTTTACCAGAGTCAAAAAGAAAAGAAATGGCTTATTAGAGCGGTCTATAAATTATTATTGGTTTTTAAAACTGTTCATTTTTATAAATTGCATATGAACGACGTAACGATTTTAAGAAGACATGAGTTGTTTACAGAAGACATTATATTTATTAATGTGTGATTTTATCTAATGGAAATCTGTATGCAAATAAAGAATAAATTTCCCAATATTCAGTAGATTTAAGTTTTTATTTGGAATTTCAAACTACTATAACTTTCTTAAATTGCCTCTTCCCTATACTTTTAAACATTTTTCAAATCTAAATCCACAGAATCTATTTTAAATTGACGAATTAGTATATGGATGCAGCAACGTACACTACCAGAATAAGAATTAGAAATAAGAATCTTTTTTTTAAACACGTATACAAAATTAAATATATTTTTTTTAAAGAATGCATGATAATCGATATGATAATTCACAAAAAAAAAATAAAAATCTTAGCTTTCTACTGGATTCTCATCTAAAATAGAATTAATAATATAAAAAAAAAAACGATGGCAATGCCAGTGGATGGGGCACTTTTTTATCCTGACATTAAAAAGAGAAAGCAGTCGGGAAGTTAATAATAATAAATATAGGCTAACGGTTACAACAAATCTATTATTTAGGAAATTTTGTTACTAAAGGAAGCACATTTAAAGAAAACAAAAACACTTTTGATTTAATAGTAATTTATGAAACGTGCACTATTTCTTTGCGCCCTTTAAATTCTAAGTTTAAAAAAAAAAGAATGATGCCTAATTTGTTAGTCATGCTTTTACTATGAACTCTAATTTAATTTGAAAACAGACTGCACATGTTTAATACTTAATACTTGACTAACTATTATTAACATTTTAGACCTTTATATGTATGCAAAAGTAATTTTAATATAGTGTCATTAAAGTCTTAAAACTTGTGGAGTTGATAAAAATAAATAAATAAAAATAGCGATATATGCGAACAATAGGAAGTAAGACTGGCGCGGTCAGTGCGATTTTTATAACCGAATACTATAACTTGATTAGCCTTAAATACGTATCATTAATTATATCGAGCCTAGCGATATTTCATATATTCCACTAAATGTAATCGGTTAAAGTCACCAGTTACTAATAAAGATCAATACTCGGAGGTTGAGATTCCATCTCTTAGGACCTCTGGCCGTGAAACATAGCCTAGTAGTCCCTGGGGACTCCGGCCATGCAACTCGGCCTTGAGTAACGGGGTTTAGGGCAGGTTGCTTCCACTCATGAGGGGACAGTTTTGCGTCACAGCCCCCCTTGCCCATTGAGTCTTACGGTCGGGACGTAGGGTTGGAACAGCTTTGCCTCCTCTCCGGAGATGACGTTTCGTTGCCACCCCCACCGCCCAGGGAGCTGTACGTTACTTGGTGTGGCACGGCTTTGCTTCCACTCCGGGAGTAGTCACAAGCTTAACTTTCTCCCACTGTTCCTAGGAGTTGTGTGGACATGGGTCAAAACGGCTTTACTTCCTCTCCGGGGGAGGCGTTGCGTTACCTCAACCCACCGTTCGTGGAGTGGTTCGGTCTGGACTGTGTCGGGACGAAACGGTCGCCTAGGAGCGGCTTTCTCAGGGCCGCATGTTTTTAATCCTCGGCAAGGGTTTTAAAAGAAAACTCATGCCTCATATCCATTATCGGCAACATGTAATCATGTTAGCGCGCAACTTCCGTCGCGTTGGAAGTCATGCGTTTGGCTGGGATTTTTTAGCTTCAGAAGGGTACCCCCCCCCCCCCTCTTACTAGTCGGGCACGCCACGAAGAGGCAAAATCCCGTGTAACACCCCCCGAGCAAGTGATGCTGGACATTGACCTTACAGAGTTCGGCCTTTGCCCGCCGGGCCACCAGTTCCTATGCAATTCCATCGTCCTTTTTAATTTTTAAAAAAAAATGCAATTCCATCGTCATTTTTAATTTTTAAAAAAAATATATTTTTGTTACATTGTTGTACACATTGTCCTCTGGCGGGATTTGGGGGGGGGGGGGCGTTCCCTCCCGGAGAGATAGCATCAATAAACACTGATGGCTAACAATAACCATATTTTTGAAAGCATGACGTCATCATTCAATTTGTAATAATTAACACCATTCCCCAGTTAAAAATTCATGCTTTTATTATAAAATATAATTTGAAAACATGAAAAGATTGCTCATGTTTGATACTTAGTGAGAACTCTATTAAAATTATAGACCTTAAAACTGAAGCAAATGTAGTTTAATACAATGTTATTAAAGTCTTTAAACTTGCGAGTTTGCAAACAAATAATTAAACAAAAAATACAGATAAATGCGAACGTGAAGTAATACTTCAGCTCATCAAATTCATAGATTTCACTAATTGTAATCGGTTAATGACAACAGCAAATATTCTTTTTAAAATTGTTTAAAAAATAACAATTTGATATTTTTTAATGAATAATGCTTTATTGTTGTACATATTTTTGCTCGGGGGTGGGGGTTGAGGGGGCACTTGACTTTTCTCCGAGAGGGGCAGTGCCCCCCCCCGGGAATGTAGCTGAAAGAAACCCTGCCCCCCCCCCAACCCTTAGCTGCGCCCCAAGCCCAAGTGCAAGGAAAAAAGTGAAAATAGAGAAACCAGATTAATGTGCATTTTAACTTTATTCAAACAGGTTAAAATAGCTAAGTAACTTATGATAAAAATTTGAAATTTTTATAAAAAGAAAACATATAGTTTTTCCGGCTCACCGTTTTCTCTCCACGCCACTGGTAAACTATTGTTTAATAAATAGATCAGAAATGGAAATTAATAAATGCACTAAATGCCTCTAAAATTGGAGACTGTGCACATATTATAAATAAAAACGCGAAAGGGGTAGTTTATAATTTCTTTATACGAGGTGGGGGCGGGGGGGGGGTGGGTAGAGAGCAATGTTATATATAATTATTCTATTTGGGGTCATTCATTAATTACAATTTTTACGCAATTTTTGAACCCCTCCGCCCTCTTGTCAACAACTGTTGAACTTTTGATGACCCCCCTCCCTATTTAATTATGTCAACACTTTAACAGGGACATTATTTGGGTAGGGCAGGGAGGGCATCTGCTCCCCCCCCCCCCCCCCCCGATTTTGATAGTTTTATTTAAATGGCTATGTACTTTGGTGCCTCCTGTAATAAACATCTTAACAAGCCAACCAAGTCTTGGTTTTGCCCCCTCCCCCATTCCTTCCCCTGAAATTAACCTGAAATGACGCCCCTGATGGACAGCATATCATTGTCTAATACATTAAAATAATAATTTCTGTATTTTTTGCATGACGTACGTTCGTTTGGGGTTTGTTTTTTTTGGACTTAATTCGGTTGTATCGTGGGATGGGATGGGCTAGTTACTACAAATTTTATGCTATTTAATAATATGAGGTGGCCGGGGGGGGGAGGGGGGTCGGTCAATGGAAACGTTTAATTTTAAAGTCAAAGGGTGGGTTTTTTTTGTGTGTAAAAGTCGTATTTTTGTGTTATTAATTTGTGCACGGCCCATAGAACATACATTCATTTTAATATAATTATTTTTTCAAAAGTCTGAATGAGTTGGAGAAAAACGAGATTAATTTTATTTATTTATTTTTTTAAAAGATAGGCCTAAAGGCTAAATAAACTTCGTCTTTAATGAAACCGAATTTTCCAGCTTTGAAATCTAGGCATGGTGTAAAGTCAAACTTCGTCACCGGTATACTTCAAAAATGGCGGCATGCATGAGCATTTGTGCGATTTAATGTCAACACAGCTTAAAGTTTATAGAAAACTTTTTTAAAAGAGATATAACAAACACAATCAGCATCTTCTGCTTGTGTATAGGAAAGGTAATATATTGTTACAGGGAACTTAATTTAATTATAAAATTTAGTTACACACTGGCCCACGCCAGAGTTTTAAGTTTAGTTTTCTGATTCACATTCACTTTCACATATTTTCATATTAGACTGATAAGATTTCATTGAATTTGAATTGTTTGTTATGCTCAGTTCACACGATCAAATTTGCATCACATTTTTGTATGAACGCACTATTGTGTGCGTGGTTTCAAATTTAAATCAATTATAATTATGATAGAAAATTTGATAGGTGAACTGAAATAGTCACAACTTTTCACTTGAGTTCAGTACCAGACCTGGGCCTGGGTACTTTTGTGATTTTGATGTACAATTCTGAGATGTCTTTTATGAATGTACCATATTGTACAACTAGACTTGTCAGAACTACAATTTTTAGGGACCCTGCCCTAAAATATATACATTCCCTTAGTTTTGTTAATAAAAAAAATAATTTAAAAGTACATTTTCATGAGTTAGTTTTAGTTCAAAGAAACTAGAAAGAAAGCATGCAGCAGTGAATGGATCAAAAGAAATACGATTGGATGAGGACCATCTATAATTATATTATGATGCCCTGAGAAGGGAAGGGGGTGGTGTTGATTAAGAGAGATTTAATACAGGGCGGAAAAATGAGATTTTGACATATTTTATAAGATCTAAGAGTTAGAAGACCTTGATTCATATCTGTTTTTAGAATGCACAAAAAGGACAAAACAGCTGTATGACTATATGATTTTCAATACCCTAGTTTGGTTCCAACCAACACACTATGATATGTTAACGAGAAATAAGCTTTATGGATATTGATTCTTATTTTTTTAAACCAGCTTTTGCCAAAAAAATAAATCTCAAGTTACTTCGCAGGTTTGTAAATGACATCCTCATTTTGTAATTAATTCTTATTTCAATCAATTTTGTTTTATGCTGAACTGACTTTGAGTTTGAACCTCATTAAGTTTCACCAGTAACTTTATTTTAATAGTGACATTAGTGACATACCATGATAATGGGATCTGCACATTCACCCAAATATTAATTGATATCTAAACTTTATAAAGCAGATACACATCTGCAAAACAAAGGGACCACAGATTGCAAAAGGAACGTCTGTCATTTACTTTTTGGAATTTACCTTTTTTTGACACAAATTAAACTCGATCCCACTTGACACACAATGTGAATAGTTATTGTATACAATATATATACTGTATGTTTATTTATTTACTAAGATACTGTACAGTTCGATTTTAGGAGTTCAAGGGTAAGAAGGTCTGCATTATAGTATTTAGACAACCTGTTTGGCACATATTTATTTGGGACTTCGGTATCACCTTGAAACAGCCAAAAATTGGGTATCGTAATTTTGTTGTCAAAATGGCGACTCCCACTCTTTAATTTACCAAAGGTATGTTTAATGAATTTGGTAGTAGATTGTTGACAATATAATAAATTCTGCATCCTACATCTCGCTTGTTCAATTGAAAATTTATTTGAATTTTTTTTCAGGGTCAATGCTTTGAAAATAGAAGTAAAAAATAGGTCAATTTTACTGATCAATACCATTTTATTTTTAAAAAATAAATAAATAATAATTGAATATTTTCTAAGTATCAGCATTTGCTGCCATTAAAAAAGGTGGTGTGGTCAAAATTGGGCTGACTGACCTTATGATAATGCAACTTACCGGATTCAGCATAAGTCAGTTCACATGATCAAATTTTCGATTATGCATTTCATGCAATTTTTGTATGGAGCCTTGTCATAACTTTCAAATTACTATTTGATCCAATTCCCTTTTTTATCCCAAAGAAGAAATCACGCAAAAAATAGTGCGTTCATTCACAAATTTGACGCAAAATTTGAAGCTAATTTGATGGTGTGAACTGACGCTAAAGAACATTGGATACGACCTACATTATTGAGAATTGACAAACATAAACATCAAAATATAATACTTGTCATTATTTAATATGAAAGACATTGTCATTTAATTTCTTCAAATAAAATTTATGGAAAGATAACCTAAATATACCTAGGAATTTACACATTAAGGTTGATTGAAAAATGCAAACAAAGTACAATAGAATGTAGGACAAGATGTCCACTATTGTGAACATTGTGGAAAGATACCACAATTTTATGACCAATAGTCTTCTTGTTAATGAAAAACACTGATGTCCATTCACAATCTAATATAAATAGCTCATTGTTCGCATGCAAATTGACCAAGGCAATTTTTTAGCTTAAGCAATAGCCTTGAGCAATAGACTTGAGTTGTATTTTGGTTAAATAATATAAAAAAATAGGGAGAGTTGCTCAATTTGTCAGCCTGACTCTCTTATCCTTGCCTATTTGATCTAATAGCAAGACTTGGTCATGACGACTGGAAATAGATCAGGATGACCAGCAGTGTGTGTTCCACTGTTGTCCTTAAGCGTTCTACGACGTAGGAGTTGCTGGAATTTTCAATGTGTCAATGTCATAACGACTACGGGACTCCATATCCGGGTTTGATTTCAGAGTTTGCTTTCTCTTAGACTTAGATGAGGTTAGACCGCTCGGCCACCCAGCACCTCACAGTGTAGTATACAACACAGTGAACAACAAAAGTTTTATAAAACATTATGACTATATTTTGTATGATTTTAAGATAGGGAAAAATGAAAACTTTGTGAAAAGTTCAATAGAAAAGGTACAAAATATGTATTAAAAAATTTAAGTTAAAATTAAAAATAATTGCAGGTTTATTGTTGTTACGCACTGGCTTCTATTGTGAGAAATTAATCTCCTATTTTAAATTTATGGCTCATTCAAAACAGTGGCTAACTAAGGACGATACCATAGAAAAATAAAATAACAAAAGTACGTTACGCAAAAACAGTTGCCAATTACAATTAATAAGATTTAATTTCGAAATAATACAATTACAAAACAAAAGAAATATCATTACAAATCATAAACTTACAGTATGGTAGATCTTGTACCGGTACACAGTTAGTCCAATGTGCCCATGAATAATGATGAATGATCAATGCGAATAAACACATATAAGTACACAAAGATTATATACGTCTCGTGAAGTTAATAAAAACTATCAATCTATCTGAATCTCCATCCCTTTCTGTGCCTGCCAATCCTTTATATATGTGGGTCTTCCGACACGTCTAGAAACGCCCTTACTTTTCTAATACAATCGAGAATGTTCCATAAGATACTAGTAAACGGTCTAACCATGTTTAATTCGTAAACACGACAGATCAAAAGAACTAGCCCCGCCCATCTATGAACCGAGCGTCTGCTTAGGAATCTAATTTAAGGTCAAGCAAAGTTCATGCACGGGGAAATGGTGTAAATCGTTATACATAACAATTGTATTTTAAAGTAATTATATGCATTAAATTTTAAATATAATCTAAAATCAGCATTTATGTAAAGGAGACTTAATAAAATACTGAAAGGAAAAGAATTTTAAAATCAACAAGAGAAGAAAAAAATTTTCATGTCTTTTCATTGATCATACCATGCATTAAATTAATGCTAATATTGGCAACTTAATCTAATAAAAAAGAACTTTTATTCTGGTGACCTGCCTTGCTAGGGAGCCTTTTTTTATTTATAGATTGGTCAAATTTAATGAATTACATAAAATGAGGGGATGTAGCTCTAAGCTGAAATAATAAGAAAGCCTTTTTAAAAACTGCCACAAGCTTTGTCATTTTTTTACTTGCACAGGAGGATGTGCTCAGATGAGTATTTAATTACCGATACCTAGATCAGGCCTATGCCCTGGTTAGTTAAAAGTTATTCAACTCAATTAAGAGTAATCTGAGTCATTCATGATTCACTCATTGTATGATTGTAGCACTATTTGTTTTAATTAAGTCATACAACTTTTGCTGATTGTTCACCCCCACTCCCCAATGGACACCTTCAAGACACATCACTAATTTGTGACCTCCACCCCTTGACCTGTGATGTCATAAGGGACCATGCCCACCCCCTAATTGTCACAAAGTTTTAAAAAAAATTGACAATAATATCACATGCCATGACATATACATGGAAAACACTTCCCACCAGTCCCAATCATGTGTTCTGACAACACAAAGTTTCACCCTGGTTTTATAAACTCATAGCTCAGTAACAGACACCACTTTTCCAAAGTAAAAGATCATAATTTTTACACCCTGTGCTTGATGTCATTTGGCATTAGCAAGATATGGTATTCGCAGGGTAAAACACAAATTTGTACCTGTGCTATTTGGCATTTGACAGGATTTACGCTATTTGTATTGGTTTTTTTATGCCAAGAAACCAATTTGTGCCCTATTACAAGGTTCGCTATTCACAGGTTTCACTGTATATATCAAAAGAACTTCCTTTTGAATTATATTCCCTTTGAGCAGGAGACTATTCAACAGAAACATGGATTGGCATCAAATAGTTGGAAGAGAGTTAGAAAACCTTCCCAGTGATATGTTGTGTACCATGTATAAAGAGAAGAATTAAATTAATGGACTTAATTTGTCATCAAGCAAAGAGTTTCAAGGGTTTATCTACAATATATATATATATTTATATTCAACCAAAAATATTTAAATATATATTTTGCTAGTGTGACAGTAATCTTAGTTTTTTTTAAAAGATATTTTTACAATTTTGATGTCACAAAGCTTTCATCATTAGAAAGGATTGTTTTCAGAGAATGAACAGCATTTGAAATTTTTTTGCTTTAACTGTCATTTTTACTCATTTCAGTTTCAAATATTTCACCATGGTGTCATTATTGAGCCCAGGACTTCCCCCAATATCATTACAAGATATTTTAGAGAAGGCTGGGCACATGGTGGATAGGCATATGCAAGATGACAATTCTTTTATGGATTTGGTTGATCTTTTAAATATACCATCAGACAGTGAGTATACTTAAAGTGAAGAAATTGTTTTAAGGAAATTATTTTGTCCAAACGTGTATGCCAAAAAGTGTAGCATCTTGTTTGCAAAAAAGCTGGTCATCCTTCGAAGAGAAAAGTATGTATCTATTATTTTAATTAACCATAAGTTTTATGATGCATTGTTTTCTCCTTTAATGTTTCAGACCAGGCAAGCCTGAGCGGTTTGTATAATCATGACTACCCCAGTTTGTCCGATGCTGGTGTTTACTTGGACTCACTTTCTGAGATTACGGTTGAAAAGAAAGTTCCACTCCCACCAGAATTAGTTGAACAATTTGGACGTATCTTTTAAAAGGAAATATATGATTACATTAATGTGTTAATCTTTTAAGGTTATAATTTAAGTGTCATTTTTATAATGAACAGTTTTTGCAGATGATTATAATTTCCAATGATATTGGGTACTATTAGAAATCAAGTTTACCCTAACGGGAAAAAACAAAAAATGGAAATTAATAAATATGCTCACATATCACACATAATATATGTGCAAGATTAGTTAAATAAATATGTAAGAGAGTTCTCAACTTTTTATTAAAAATTATCTTTAACAATAATTCAAGGCATGCAGTGTAACTGTATGATGGGTATCTTCCCTGAGATAGAGCGGGCCTGGTTAACTGTTGACAATGATATTTTTGTTTGGAAATATGAAGATGGGTAAGTATATAACTTACTATTAGAAAAGTATCATTATATATATATATATATATATATATATATGGTTTATATCATATATATATATATATATATATATGGTTTGTGTGTGGGTTTGTTCCACAAAGACTTTTACATGGATTGATGGATCTTGACCAAACTTGGCACATATATCCATCATTATCCAGAAGGAACTCTTAAGGGGTTATGAACTTTTTATAACATTCCGTTTGGGGCCGGCGGCCCTGAATTAGTTTTTTTCCTTATATTAGCTGTATAAAAGTAATTAGAAACAAATACTCCTACATGAGTAGATAGATCTTGACCAAACTTAGTACACATATACTTTATTATCCATATTCAAATACCCAAGGGTTCTGAACTCATAATATCCATTTCTCTGGGGCCGGGGGGCCCAGTTCATTTTTCCTTATATAAGCTATATAAATATCAATAGGCTTAGACAGCGCTATATTTTCTATGTGCATAGATGGATATAGGCCTGGCTTTGTAGCAATACCCTTCATTTACTGTATTGATATATCAGTGAATTTAAAACTAATAATATCCAATCTAGAATTTTCCAGAAAATACCATAATTTTAAAAAGCTATATCTATGCCATTTTTAACTCATTCCCTCCGGCAGCGCTGCTTCCGGACTTAATTTATTTTCCTGAGAAAAGGGAAGCAACTCAGTTTTGAAATTGATATATATTTTTAAAATATTTTTTTAAGTTGCTAAATATTATTTAATGTTAATGAATTAAGAACAAATGCAACAAAAAATGAATAAGGTTTAATATAAATATAACATTAGCGGGGGAAAAATAACGAACAATGGTAAAAAAATCGGTTTTCGGCACCTTCGACGAACACGTGGTACATATAGACGCGCCGTACTAAAGCACACGTAGTTTTAAAGTGAAACAAGATAAAAACTTCCGGTTTCTAAATTAAAATCACGCAGAAATCACGCCATAGCCGGAAATCTCGAGGGGTGCGAGATTTCATTGCTATTTTTAACTAAAAATAAGAGAGGTGTGTCGCTATGCGCCGGGACGCATTTGGACGCATCAGTAGGAACCCCCCGAGGACGCATTTAGTCGCAACCGTCGGGAATGAGTTAAGAAGCTTTTTATGGGACAAATTTTAAATTTTAACTTTATTATTTATCTGTCTGATTTTATAGGGCCCCCTAGCTGAGGTATAACTATATCAGTACAGTTATGGATTAACTTAAAAGAAAAAGGATTATAATTATGGCATTTGTTGAAGATTTTTATCGTATTTGAAAAATAATTAGATAAGTAGTTTTTACACGTGTTTCGAGCAGGTTATTAAATTTAATCTAGAATGTTCCAGAAAGTTCTAAATTTTTATAAAGGGATATGTAGTGGGATCTAAGGGAATATTGAAATGTTAGTTAGTTCCATTCATTCCCGGAGTTTACTTTTCTCTCACTGAGTAATTTTTTATATTCGGAGTAGAATCAAAGGGGTCGGGATCCCATCATAATCTTTATCCCAATGGGATCAGGATCCCAGCAGAAAACGGGATCCCATCGGGATGGATGGATCCACCGGGATTGGGATCACACCGGCAAATGGGACTGCGCTGAGATCGGTGTCAGAAATGGGATCGGGGGTCCAACCAGGATGGGGTCCTATGCAATCCCGGGCCACGCCGGGTATATCGGCTAGTATATATATACATATATATATATATATATATTTATATATATATTTGTTGTTGCTTTTGTAAAATCATATGAAATTTTGTAGGAACCAATAGTTACCCTAAAGCAAATAAAGTCTTCAAATTTAATGACTTTTCATTTTCTGAAAATTTAGTTCGGACTTGGCATATTTTGATGGATTGAGTAAAGCAATTCTTAGTGCTGCCCTCTTGAAACCAAAGCCAGGTATGAATATACTAGCCTAAGTATTACATTAAAATTTAATCATTTGGTATTTTGAGCTAATTATGTGGGTTTGAATAAAAAAATATCTGCTAAGTAAATTTGGCTATTTAGTATGTAAAAGATATAGATTTATCATTAATTATGTATTTGCCTCATAGACTTTCCACCATATAATGCGTCATTTCTCTTGTTTTGTTCTAGGTATATTTCAGCCACACATTCAGTATTTGTTGTGCCTCGCTACACCTATTGACATAGTATTACTTGGAGTCAGTTTTTACAAAACTTTTGATGGTAAGAACATATTGGTTATCAATACCGTACACTGGTATGTTTCAGATGATATTACATTCGTGTGATATGCAAAGTAATTTAACTGGTCAACTACCGTTAGTCGCTGGTATTGCCAATCATTCCTTCTATCCTGGCCACGAGCCGCTGTGAGAGTTAAGGTTTGTTTCGTAGTATACAAGTAAAACTAGTTATATCTTTGCAGTCCTACTTTGTGTCGGCTCTAGATTTAATGTATTGACAGGGAGTTAATTTTTTTAAAAAACACATGGGGCTGTCATAATGTAAATAATATATTTTTGTCATATTTACTGTATTTTGGGGTAGTTAACCATGGCAACTAGTGATAAGGTTACAAAAAGCAAGCATATTGTAAATAAGTTGAAATTATGTTTCTTCCAAAGTGAATTTGTGTAAATTAAGAAACATTTTCTAATTTATTGTAGATGTGATTACATAAATTATTTGATCAGTAAATAATAATTATTTCTTTTGCAATTCATAAAATAAAGGTAAGTTAGCACATTTCAAAAAATCTAATGCTTTTCTCTTGTAAATAATAATTTAACAATATTCACAAAAATTGTTTCAGATTTATATTAAAGAAAATGCAGTTATCTACACAATGGTATATTACTTACAACAATATGTTAACAGCAGCTGAATTAGTACATAGTCCTGCTTGTGGGAAAATGTAACCCACATTTAATTGAGCCCAACAGCATTTTTCAATGCCGTAGCTAATCTTTTTTTTAAATAGTGGTGTGATTGAGCTGTTGGATTTATTTTTTTTGTCTGTAAATTCTACCACATAAGTATTGTTGAGCACTCTCTTTATTCTCATCCAGGTGGCAGTGGAGATAGTCTAGGTGGAGAAATGCACTTGTTGCCAGATCCTCTCTTCTCCATTCCGACCGATGGTGTGTACATCACTAGCATCGTGGGGGCTGATAATGGCAGAGTTTTCATGGCTGGTAAAGATGGCTGCTTGTATGAACTTATTTATCAGGTGCGTTGTAGTTGGGTGTGTCTTGTTTATTGACAAATTATACAACACTAAATATATATTGTGACTTATGGTTCTTTTGTTTGGTAATGAAGCAAGTTTTTTTTGGTGTACAAACATTATTTCTTTATTTTAATAGTTTGATTGATGTGGAAATCGCACATTTTTTTTTCAGGCTGAAGATGGCTGGTTCAGTAGAAAATGTAGAAAAGTCAATCATTCAACAAGTTCCTTGTCCTTCCTTATTCCCTCTTTTCTCAACTTTTCCTTCAGTGAGGATGGTTAGTACTCCTTGACTTTATTGTACCCTTCATTATTTAGTTACATATTGATAAAATTGTTGGTGTCTATTAATTTTGTAATTTAAAAGAAAAGGTTATTTATATGAAAGGAAAATCATTTTCATGTATTACTTTAATCACTTTCTTAGCTGTATCAAGTATGATTTTCATTCTGTGTAAATGTTAATTTTATTTATTCTTTCAGATCCAATTGTACAAATAAGTATAGACAACACAAGAGGAATTTTATATGCCAGAACTCAGAAAGGGACAATACAGGTGGGTCTCACATTGTAAAATATTCATTGTACAGTAAGTGTTTCATTATTTGTTAGAAATCAATGGAACTTAGAGATTTGTAGGTATTTAATTGAAGAAAATTGTTGAAGGTTGAAATCAAGATAAAAGTCACTGATCTTAAGTTGTACCCTGTATTGGAAATAAGAATGTTAAAATTTCTTCAGGTATTTGATCTGGGTGAAAATAACACAGGAATGGGGCGGGTTACTTCACAGTCTCAGTCCAGCATACTGAGTGCAGCCTCTAGCATTGCCAAGTAAGTTAAATCTTCAGTTAATTAAAAAAGTATTTGATTTTGCTTTCACAATTGTTTTTGTAATGATACAGATAAATAGATTACCGTTGCTGTTCTGTTTCCCCATAATTTAAAGTGACCCTTTTTTTGGTACAATTTCCAGTACAATAGAGTCAACCAGTTTTAAATCTATAGTGCACATAGCTGCCATTACAGAAAGGGAATCAAACTATTTACAGTTGGTTGCTGTAACAGACTCAGGTATATTCATATCATAGTTAGCTTTACCATTTTTTAAATGAAAAGCAAGTAATATTTGTGACTGAAAAAAGAAAAGTATGCACTTTATCAACAAATTAGGTTTTACCAAAGTTATGTCATAAATGTTTCAGGATGTTATTGTTAAACACCAGTAATGGAGTGTTTTTATCCTTTTCTTAAATCAAACAGAAAATTAAACATTTTTATGGAATATAAATAGAAAAAAATATTAAATTTAAAAAAAAAATACTCTGTCATCCTAAAACATAATTGTTTAAAAAGGTCCAGGGCAAAGTGTTTTATTCTGTTAATTTGTTTTACAGGTGTTCGTCTGTATTTTGCAACCATTCCTTTCAAACAAGCCTCCAGAAGACCCTGTATGCTGTCTTTAGTCCATGTCAGGCTCCCACCAGGATTTTCTGCAACATCAGCACATCAACGTCCCTCATTTGTTCATACAGCTTATTACAACCGAGGTCTGTCTGTAAAATGAAGTTTAAAAATTGCACTTGAGAGCCTCTACTTTCTTTATCCCATTAAATTTTTTTTTTAAATTTAAAATTTTCTTTAAAAAAAAATTGAAATGAGACTTAAGTTCTCATGTCTAATGATTTAAAAATTTTTGTGCTTATTTTCTTTGCACACCAAGGTGTTGCCATGCTATACAATTTTCAGATTACAACTTTTCTTATAGGATGAAATTCTACAAATGGTGTTTCATTGTTTATGATAAATCTTTATTGTTTCCTGATAATAAAGCTCTTAAAGAGACATGTTTCAATTTTTAGATACTCTTCTACTTGTGGCCTATCAGAATGAAGAGAGTGACCTATTGTGGACCATTAGCCCTGATTCTTTTCCTTTCCACAAGCAGCTCATGGAAGCTTATGTAACTGCCATCTCTGTTTTTTTAACTTTACTATATTGTAAATTACTTAATTTTGTAGATTGATAAAGGTATAATAATTTAATGAAGACTGTCATAGAAAGTATATGATTTTTTTTTTCTTAGGATGATTTGTTTATACTTCTTATTGATTTCCAAAATAATTAGATGATCCTCTTCAAATTACTGCCAGCAAATTTTTATTCTGTAATCTTTGAAAGCATTCAAGCTTCTTATGACACATTATGCTTATATAAACCATACATGTGTTAGTTATTTAAAATTAAGTTTGCCAAATAATCAAAGAAACATGACACTTATTAACGTATTTACAAAATACTTCTAAATTAGAAAATTCAATTTTTTTCCCCCACATTTTAAAAACTGATTTAATTTTTCAGACAACTATCCCTATTGAAGGGAAGACTTGGGCTATTGATGAGATTACGCGTCCAGCGGGGCATTCCTTAGAAAGAGGTAGCTCCCGCCCAGACCCTCCAAGTGTTGTTACCCAGCATGCCTTACCACCACGGAGATTTGTCCTTCTTAGTGCACAAGGCATCCACATCCTTCAAAAGCTTCGGCCCCTTGAACAACTGCGTCAGTTGATGATAGAGTGCAGAGGGCCTGATGCTGAACAGGTCAAGGCCTTTTTTAGGCTACACAGGGTAGGGCAAAAATTTCTTGCTTTATGTATGTAGATTTTTAAAAAAAAAAGCTTTGTTATATTGTTAGATATCCTATTTAAGATCTTAAAATTATTTAATTGAAATATTGGGGAACATTTTTGCATACTTATTTTTATGTTCATAATTTGTGGTAATTAACATTTGAGAACTGGAGCTGCCCAGCATTTATTAAAATTGTAAAAAAAATCTTCTTTAATATTTCAATTTAAAATATATTACTTGCATGCTGGGGAAACAATCATATATTAGGTTTGGTTTAATTTGTTTGGATGATCCTAAGTTGGGGGAGCGGGGGTCTGGGATCAGAATCGGTAAAAGGAAATAAATAGTACATTCTGAAAACCTGAAGAAGAAAAAAAAGAAACAAGGGACATGACGTCAGGCAGCCTTTTTCAGCGAACAAGATAAACAACAAAGTAAAATAAAATAAATGACTTGCCCGATGCTGTGAAGAGCTCGAGTCGAGAGTGCCTTAGGTTTTATTAAATCATTTATTGGATCCCCTAAAATGGTTGAAGCATTTTACCTTGGTTTTGTCTGTCTTAGATTGATCAAGCTTGTGCCGCAACACTTGTTTTAGCCTGTTCAAGAGCAGCTGCTGACGAACAAGTAAGCAATTAAACTGATCATTAAGTGTTGAGCCAAATTGATGAATGGGGTTGCTTCCTCTTTCCCTTGGGCTGCATCCAGTGTACAGCACTTTGAATTATATTCAGCCATGACAATATTTATTGTTCAAATATAAGGAATAATGCAGATGATGATCTTTAAACACCTATCCATCTTAGTAGAAATATTTTTAGGCACCCTGCTCGAATTACTTCCTAGATGGGTAGCCAGATGATTCTAGTTTGATCTCTCCCTTAGGTATCTGACTGGGCAAGGATGGCCTTCTTCATGTATGGAGGAGAAGCCCAGTACAATCTGCAGGCCCTGAGAGCAGCTCCACTTCAAGGGACAACTTTCACTTCTGGTATTACCAAGCAATTTATATAAATATATAAATAAAATATTTAAATAGATAACTGCACAAAATATTAGCGATTTTGTTAAATTACTAGAAACTATTCTCAAATTATAATAGTTTTACTTAATAAATGGAAGCATAATATTTTAGAAATATAACAACTACATTAACCACCAGTTGCTATTTGTTAAATAATTGTCATCTTAATGTTCTATTTAGTTTACATATCAACAGCTGAGAGTGAGGTAGAAATAATTTAATAGTTGTACAATCCCACTGACCTAAATTTATTGCATTAATTTGATCTCATGTCAGGTGGGCCTGGCCATATGTCCAACACAGTTTTATATAGCCCTGGATCTATGGGTATGTCAATGATGCCAGGATCACCAATGCCAAGTAAGAGTATGAGGCAACCCTCAGTTTGAAATAGCTTTTTCTATCATCTTTACCCCTAGAAATAACTGCAGTATGTATATTTAGTGCATCTACCTTTGTTATCCTTTTTTTTTAAATGATTAAAGGAAGAGTCGCTTTTCAAAACGCGGTATCCGCCATTTTCGAAAAAAATGAGATAGCTGTACAGTCTTGTAGAGCAAACCATGTTCCTTTAGGACATGTTAAAGTTTATCTACAAAACACATTTTAATCCTATATTATTCTATGTCTAAAAATGATTTTATTTTCAAAACGCGGTGTGAAATTTTTTTTTTATTATCAAAATGCTGTATATATTTTCGGACCAATCCATGTGATTGGCAAGCTGATTTTGTGGCATTCTGCGCACGCGCACTAAACATCAAGAATGAAACAACAACAGACATGGTGGTTAACAACAGCCTGGATGAAAGAGGTTGTTTGTGCTATAAAATCTTGAAAATAAAAAGAAAAATAGCTCAACACGAAAAAAAGTAAAATCTTTTCGTCATTCAAGCAGAGGAGAGATACCCTCCGTTACATGTAATCACGATAAAGGGTACTGCAAGGTGAGTTATCGGTAACTTTATTAAATAACCAATAAAGTTCATTTTACGTTAACATTGTAAAACTGATGGTTACTACACATTAGAAGTGTTAAGGAAATGAAAATAAAAATTTGCTTTACAGCAGTAGTTCTCAACCTTCCTAATGCAACGACCCCGTAATACATTTCCTCATGTTGTGGCGACCCCCAGCCACAAAATTATTTTCGTTGCTACTTCATAACTGTAGAGCATATGTGATTCAGATGATCTTAGACGACCCCTGAGAAAGGGTCGTGCGACCCCCAAAGAGGTCGCGACCCACAGGTTGAGAACTGCTGCTTTACAGAGTTAGCTGTGTTATTTATTACATATTCAATCTTTTACATGCAGATCCTGCCATTACAGAACAAAGATGCTCAAGGACAGAAATATTTGCCCTCTGATTTGAATGTAAATAAGAAGCGTTCACTTGTCCTGGAACAAAACCAAACTGCTATTGAAGATGCTGCACACTCTAAATCAGACACTTCATTATGTTCTATTTTGTTGTTGTTCTAAATTCAAATAAAATGATTTGTGAGTTGAACATTATTTTGTTTACTTTTGTTTGGAATTCAGATTTATAAAAACAAGTCATGCAAACTTATCTCACTCTAAACTTTACACTACTACAGGGGACTTTCCAGCATTTATAATACTGTTCTGTTAAAATATATTTAAAAAAAACATTAATCATACACAATTATTTAATGTATATGATACAATTTTATTTTATTTTGTTATATAAGTGGTTTGTAATCTGTAAACAAACTAAATTATTTGCTACTGGGAATAATGTAAAGCTATCAAAATGGATATATCGCATTTTGTCTCAAATTTATAGTTGGATACACAGCATTTTGAAACAAAATAAGAAATTGAAAATGGTAAATAAATACATTTTAATTAACCTACATTTCAATTTTCATCATAATCTAACTTATATTTAAATATATACCTAAATTAACAATTACTTTTCCGAAAATTTGAGCCATCATTGTGTAGCAAAAAAAGTCGAATATCTCAAAACACCAAAAATGGAGAAACAGCATTTTGAAAATCGACTCTTCAAATATTGATCACATATAAAAAAATTATGCAGGTTAAATATCCCACTTACCTACTACAGGTATGTCTCCACTGCACATGTCCACCCCTGCAGGGGCTGGGTTTCATCCACACATGTCTATGGCACCAGCCCCCAATACACAACAAGAGATTATATATTCAGGGAAGCACAATGGGATATATATTTACTTGGCAAGAATACTTCGACCTTTTTGGGAAACCCCCGTCTCCACAAAGTTGGTGTGTGATTCAAAGCGTGGCACAGTCATCTATGTAAGGCATAATTAAATTTTTTTGTTCTTCTATTTCATACAGTGGTATTCCATTAGTGTTGTTTTTATTCATTCTCTATATTTGCATTGCTTTAAAGCTCAATGAAGGAAATGGTGGGACAAGTCACATTTTAAACATGCTCATGTTTGCTTGAAATGAAATAAATATGAGTTTATATGTTTCAACAGCTGACCAGCACCTTTAGTGCTGAAGAACTGAGCATGGCACTTGAACTTGTGCGGGACTTATCTGACTTTGTGGACTTCAACTCCAAATTTGACCATGATTCCCAGACTGATATGTAAGTGTTGACCAAATCAAATCAGAGCTATGGTTTTACTCCCTTTTTTAAAATTGTCATCACTCTCATTTTTAATGAGAAGAAAATACAGCTTAGGACTCTGGTGTGTATATAGATTCAGTATAAAATATTTTTTAAAATAGATCTGTTGAATCAAGGACCAAAGATCCCTTTGCTGTTTGTCAAAAACATTAATTGAAGTTTGGAATTTAACATACCTCTTTTATTAGCTTTTATCCATTTGTGTTTTTTAAGTAGTAAAAGAAGCACCATTGAGGATAAATCTCTCTAATGTTTCAGTCTGAGAGGTTCCAGGTTTGAGTTAGGCTTGGATGAACATACAAGAAAGAGACTCCAGGCAGATGTTCAGAGGATGGAGAAGATCTCCCTCCAATATGTTCAAGACTTACTGCACAGGTTGGAGGAGGTGCTGGGCTTGTTGAGGCTTCTGGTAGACAACCAATTTCACATGCTGGTGGCATCCATGAAACAGGTAGTGCTAACCATATGCAAAGAATATTCATTTTGCGTGAATCCCCGCCATGAAGTTAAATCATTTCTGTTTTCTAAAGAAGGGGAAAAAAGTTTTTGGCAATATTTTGAGTTTGTCGCATAGTAAAAATGTTTAAGTTGTCCTAATTACTACTTCGTTTCAGAATTCTTCAACATCTATTAATTTATTGGTTAAATGTGAGATTAACATATTTTATCACAATTCAAATTTCTGTTAAATCAAGTCAGACACTTAAGTAATTTTAAAATATCTTTTTCAGGACATGCAAAATCAACTTCGAAATATCACATTTAAAACATTAGTCATCAATGGAAAAGATGTAAGTGTTGAATGCTTTATATAAAATTATTTGTTCAATTAAATTAAGGCATTACCTATTTTTTCCTTGTGTTCCTTTTATTTATTTTTTATATTATAAAATTTATTATTCAATTTCTATTTGACATTTCTGGGTTAACCTTTTCCAGGTCTGCAATACTCTAGTGAATTGTCTTATCAGCCGTTACCTTGATGACAATGCTACTATCGATGCCATCAGTGAAAAGTTGAGACAGGTTTGTCCCACCCTCTACAGTTCTGATGATGCCACTTGTTCTAAGGTAAAAAATTTTGTGAAATGTACATAATTTGTTCATTGAGTTCACTAGCAAATTTATAACAACAGTTTACAAGAGTGATTTTATTACACTTTGTCAATTCAGAATGGGAGCAAGTTTTGTGATACTTTTTTGTGCTACCCTATGACAGTTTTAACAATGAAAGGCAGAACTGGTGCGCCCTAATATGATTTATGCCTGTTATGGCCTAGATATGTATTAGATGTAAAGCATAGAAAACTTATGATATTTTTTTCTTTATACTCATGTTAAGATTGGGTTTTCTTAATGTACTATAGGAGTAATGAATATATGTAGAGATTTACTAAAAGTTGCAAGCTTCGTATAGTTTACTCATCTGCTTTTCACTGCCTAATTGAGAAAAGATTTCACATTTAAATTTGAAAGTATATGTGTTCTATTGATGTGGGATGAAAAGACCTGTGTACCCTCAAACTCATATTAAAATTGTACAATATCGTCACAAAATCATTCAATACATTATCTTAATAGTAAAAAAATAAACATAAGTATATATAATGTATACACCTCAAAATCAAACATTATATGCCAAAATCGTAAGAGTAAAAAGATCTGGATGAGGAATGAATTAACCAATGCCATCAACCAGGAAAATTACTTCAGTGCTATTTCCCGTCACGATGGGGGGGGGGGATTAACGAAAATAACATTATGGTTGATAAAACCTGGCAAATGAAGAAACATTAATTAAACTTTGTAAAAGCCTTATGTTACTTTATTGCTTGTCAGCCTTGTCGAGGAGGCTAGAGTGTTTTCTGTGGCCGTTGAGTAGGGGACCCAACTCCTAGACAACCTGCCTTCTCATGCTTTTCAGTATGAATTAGATATGCTTTGGCGATTATCATATATTGCTGAAATAATTGTTGTTACATTGGTTATCATTTTATGGTATGTTCTCTATGAGTTTAACAGTGAACCATCTTCTCTATGAGTGTAACTGGGAACCATATTCTCTATGAGTGTAATTAAGAACCATCTTCTCTAGGAGTGTAATTGGGAACCATCTTCTCTAGGAGTGTAACAGTGAACCATCTTCTCTATGAGTGTAACTGGGAACCATATTCTCTATGAGAATGAGTGTAATTAAGAACCATCTTCTCTAGGAGTGTAATTGGGAACCATATTCTCTATGAGTGTAACTGTGAACCATCTTCTCTAGTAGGAGTGTAACTGTGAACCATATTCTCTATGAGTGTAATTGGGAACCATCTTCTGTATGAGTGTAACTGTGAACCTTCTTCTCTATGAGTGAAATTGTGAACCATCTTCTCTATGAGTGAAATTGTGAACCATCTTCTCTATGAGTGTAACTGAACCATCCTCTCCATGAGTATAACTGTGAACCATCCTCTCTAAGAGTGTAACTTTGAATCTCCGATGTCTTAAATCCAGTGTAATAAAAAAAAATCTGCAAGTAAGAAGAATCTGAAAGAAGGTAGGCACGCATAGCCAGGCTGATTTTGATATTACACAGCAATTAACTTTTATCTCATCAGGCCAATGAATTGCTGCAAGCCGCAAAACAGAACCTAAATCAACAAGAGAAACAACAACAAGTCAGGGAGGCATTGCAACACCTGAAAGGTGTTAACCAGCCCCTGAACCTGAATGTCATATGCCCACAGCTAGAAAGCCTTTATTGCTACCTTGGCATAATGGAGCTTGGACTCAATGAAGCTCGCAAGGCTGATCCCCAACAGTTGGCTCTACACTTCTACCATAATGGGGAACCGCAGGAAGATATTCAAGGGATGAAAGCTTACATAGCTCGGTATGATAAGTATAAATAAACTAATGTGAATATTGTATTTATTTTTTGCCTTAATTAACTTGGAGCTGACTTGAAAGAAAAACCTTCAACCTCAGCATAGTACTTGATAAATCTAAATTGGCTGTTGATCTTTAACAAATAAATGTTTTTTATAATTTATTTTGATGCTTTACTTTTGAAACATTTATCATCACCACAAAGGAATTTCCCATTTTACAATAAGACATTTCTAAGCCAGTTGATTCCCTATTCTTATAAGATTGGCTTGTTAACTAACATAGTCAACAATGTCCCAAGTTTTGTACAAAACATATTTCTATTTAATATTTATTTACAACACTTACATAATCTGAACCAATAGCATACTTGGATCCAAACATATACTTAAAGTTAAAATTTTGAAAAAGAAAGAATTTAGAAATAATAATGTGGTCAAGTGTTATTTTTAATGTTCGTATTTTTTCTTATAAGCTGTTAACTTAAATACTTTGATTTGATGAACAGTTCTTTTTTTGTTTGTTTTTTTTAAATTTGTTTCCGGCATATTCCACCCGTGACTTCCACAGTGGATCCCCGCTCTAACGCTATAGTTGAGGTCCATAGAAAGGATCTTTTTTTAAAGCAGAGACATGATAATTTTGGGTTTGACAATATTTTGATGCAATCTAGTCCTGTTGCCACTAATGCGCCTGGATGCCTACAAACAAACACATGTCTCACAGAAGCCTTGATACTATGTGAATGGTTCCATCTTTAGGAAACATGTTTACTGCTTTTGTCCTTTGATGTTTATTACTTTAAAAAACCAAGCCATGATCCTGTTATATTTTTAATACTAGTGATCTGAAGTCACAAATCTTAATGAGAACTAATAAGTCCCCGATATGGCTAAGAGAATTCACTGAATGGCTGTTTGAAATAATTTATTACAAATGTCTTGTGTTCAAATTGTTCAATTTATGTGCTGAAAATGTACAAAGCGATCAAAAAAACATTTCCATTTTTTTTATCAATAAAAGAATCTTATCTTACTGTACGCCAAAAGGATAAAATAGCTATTTTGATAATTTGTTCCAATGTATTTTTAACCCAAAAAAAATATTCCTGTGCAAATTATATAGAAAATATTGGATTCAACTGTATCTTTTACTTATAATATATTTTATGCATTTTGTTTTAATTTTTTTCCCCCCATTTCAGTATGGATTGTTACAAACATCTAACCAACACCTTAAGCTATTTATGGTCAGCAAGTATAAACCACCCGCAAGCTCCCAGTTTGCCCCTCTTACCTGGCCCTCCAGCCAATGTTGACCCAAGTCGGATGGATCCAGAGGAAGCTGAGAAATTTGTTAGTAGCATTTTAGTAACCTCCTTGTTCATAATGTATTTATCATATTCAAGCAGAAGTAAAATGAAGGAAATCAAATTTTATTTAAGGAGCTTTCCATGCTTTCTATTAATACTTGACCAACATTTCCATACTATGATTTCCTCAGAGAGATGAGTTTTTTCAAACAGCCCTGAAAAGTGATGATCCTTTATTCCACTCAGCTTTATATGATTGGTTGTTTGCTACAAACCATGCTGAAAAGCTGCTAGAGGTTGGTCTGCATTAGTTAGCCTTGTTTAAATACCCTTGGAGTCTTGGAATTGTTTTGAAAGATTTCTCTTGAATACCAACCAACTGGCGTAGTTGGCAAATGGTGCTTCAAGGAAATTTTTATTACCATCCTGTGTAAATATTTGAGCTGTAAGTGTAAATAAAATAGTTCCTTATGCTGGGATTGTTACAAAACCCAAAGATCTCATTGGAAATTTTTCCAAGTTTTGCAAATCCTTTTAAGCAATTTTTCGCTTAATATTTTTATATTTAAAAGACATTACGATAAGAAGATGACAGCATTAAAATTGAATCCATCATAATTTTTTAAAATTTTAAATTCCAGATAAATACACCTTATGTTGAACAATATCTCCGTCGTAAGGTTAACTTACAGACAGATAACACCAATGCTCTGGACATGTTATGGAAACATTATGAGAAAACTGAGAACTTCTTGGCAGCGACACGTATTCTTGCTCAGCTGGCAGAGAGACCAGGGTCAGTTCTTTAAATTAGGATCAGTCCTATTGGCACTTACTAGACAACATTAGATATGGCTACATAATTTTCATTTCTGTATTCAAAGTTTTTATTTAAAACTAATTTATTATTTTTTTTAACCCATACAAATTTATTATCCTTGTGACCATGTAGGATATTTACCAAAGATTTTTTTTTCACCCCAATGAATTCTCTAAACAGATCCAACATTAGTCTAATCCAAAGACTGGACTACTTATCGCGAGCTGTCATATCTGCCAAGAGCTCCACATCCAGACTGGGGACATCTGCTGCTGGAGAATTTTTACATGAACTGGAGGAAAAAATGGAGGTAGAGCGAAGATTCTTGAGATTGGGGGGAGTGGGGGGGGGGGGGGAATATAAATATATGCTTTGGATATTTTATTATATGGCCTGTAAATTTAGTGAGTGATATCAATCAATTGTACATAATTATTTAAACTTGTTAAAATTTATAATATAATAATTGTCCATCAGAAAACAAGACTGTGGCTTACATTATGTTAGGTTTTAGTGTGAACACTATGCAAATCACCAAACATTTTAGATTTTTTAAAAACCGTGTTAGGAAATGATTAGTCCAACAGTATAGTTGATTAGTGACTCCACCTTTGTTTCAGGTTGCTAGGTTACAGATGCAAATCTATAAATGTCTATCAAACATGGGGCATTCTCCAGATTTGCAGCAGGCAAAAACTAAACTTGATTCAGGACTGTTGGACATCACATCTGTGAGTTTTACAGCGAATGTTCAACTCATTAATTGTTCCAGAAATTAACAATTAACTCTGAAGTCTACTTGATCTGTTTTAATATGTTTAGTATTTATAATAATTTATGCTTTAGTATTTTTGTTGATTGAGGAAATCTACCTTAGTTGATGACTGTGTCGTTGCAGTGTATTTGGCACATGGGTGATGCACAAGTGACATAAGTTTATATATATAACATCATACACCTTTTACAGTACATTATAAAAATATTGTCCTAAAAACAATACTTTGTTAATATATCTATCTTAAAAGTTTGACTTTCTTTAATGAAACTGTTATTAAATCTAATTACATTGTAAGAACAATAACTCTAGGTTGGAGTGTTGTCCCTTGTTATTTTTTTTTTTTTAAGTTTCATTATCTTATTTGACTTGGTCATATTTTAGATAAAAATGGAGGTTTTTTTTTGTCTGCTTGAGTAGACTTTAAGTGAAATGCTTTCATTTTATTAAATGTTATTATGGTTTTACCCAACTTAATTATCTTTTGTCTATAATTTTTCAGTTGTATGAAGATTTTGCTGTCCTATTTAACCTTTATGAAGTACAGCTGGCCATTGTCCATTGTGCAGGATTGTATGATGCAGCACTGATTGAAAACTTATGGCAAAATATTATTGATAAAGGTTAGGACTTTTAATAACTAAAGACTTAATTAATAAATTTTTTTTTTCAACTGCAACCAAAATTAGCCATTTACAGTCCGATGCCTACAGTCCGTTGGGGCCAAAGCCGCCCGTTCGAGGTTGTTTACTTTTGTTCTTAGCACAGCGGAAATCCATTGCCCATTACTATTTATAGTTCTACCGGAAGCCTCGTTTTCTGCATTTTTTATATACTAGTTTGAACGTGGTGTGTTTAGGGCCTCATTTTGTGATTTTTTTCGCTTTTAAAAAAATGGCTTTCCAAGCAATGGATAAAATTTTGAAAGAACTTAGGCCTAATGGAGCTTCATTCTTTCATGATTCCAGCAGTGATAGTGAAGAGTCAGATATAGACATTAATTTAAATGACGCTACTAGTGATTCAAGTGGAGAAGATAATAGTAGTGACATCGATGAAAATGGACCTATAACCAATTCCTACAACTATAAATGATCAGACAGATCAGGAATGGTTTGTGAATTTTTCATGCATCAAACTGTTCCCTTTCACAGAGCAATCAGGCTCTAAGCATAATTTGCCTGTGAATGCAGTTGCATAATTTTTTTTGTTTATCCTGGACATTTTCTACCAACACGTCGTAGCACAAACAAATTTATATGCAATCCAGTGTGCAACAAAGTGTGGCAAAACAGACTCTTACTGGCACCCAGTTGGCTCCAGTGAGATCAAGAAGTCTTTTTACATAAATATAATGCTTGGGATCCACAACATGCCAGAAGTTGACTCATACTGGTCTCTAGACCAAAGACTTAGAGTTCCAGCCGTAGCTGACATTTTGGGTAAAAAACGATATAAGAAAATAAGTCAATATTTGCACCTAAATTACAACAATTTGTTGCCAAGGGACAGCCAGGCTATGATCCTATATTTAAAATTAGACCCCTTCTGGACATTTGTAATTTTAAAAAAAGAGTCAGGAAAATTATTACCCTGGAAAGGAACTGAGCATTGATGAGGCTATGATAAGCTTCATTGGGAGATTGTTGTTCAAACAATACATAAAAGCCAAACCGATTCCATGGGGTATCAAAGTTTGGTACATTGCTGGCCCCCACAATGGGTATATGTGTAATTTTAAATTTTACACCGGCAAAGTAAACGACCCAATGCCACATGGCATAGGCCACCACATCATTTTTATTGTGGGAGGACCATATTTAGAAAAGAAACACCATTTTTACTTTGATGATTAATTTTAAAGCGTCAAACTTGCAGAGGATTTGCTGACTGTGAATACTCATTCTTGTGCAAAAATACACACCAACAGGAAGGGGTGGCCACTATGAGCAGAAAAAATGAAAGGTGGGGATGTACGATATTTGCAGAAAGGCGGGGATGCCGGCAACAACTTGGTGTGACTAGCGACAGTGTCCATTTTGTGCACAAATACAGAGAGTGGTGTTGAAACTGTGAGTAGGAGATCAAAGGAAGGGCCCGAGATGTTGCTATTCCTCAGCTTATCCTCACCTACAACAGGCATATGGCTGGTGTGAATTTGGCTGACCAGTGAAGGGAAGAAATCCAAGAAATGGTGAAGTTATGGTCTTTGGTTCCTAATACAAGTAGGAATGATCAATGCCTTCACCATTATGAAGGAGACAATGAAACCCTCCACTCCCAAAAGAAAAAGCCACCAATCATCTCCAGTGCTGCGTGGACTTACTGTCAGGACTGCTAGGCTCTTCAGCCGCTAAGGAGAAACACTGACACAGTTTCTGTTGCAGCAGCGCAGTTGTCGTCCTCTAAGCATGAGCTGATAAAACGTTCTGGCAGGAAAAAGACATGCCACTTCTGCAGCAAGACGGGCAAAAAAAAAAACAGTGGGAGGGTCCCTAAAAGTGTTTTTGTGTGCAATTTTTGCCAAATTCACCTGTACAAGGCTGCTTGCTTTGCAGAGTTTCACCAAAGACTAGAAAATGGAATATAATTGGAGTGACAGAAGACAACTTGCAGAATTATTTTTAACAAATTTTTAAAAACTTTTTTCTGGATTTTTTAGTAACAAAACTATTTGGATTACACCTTTACAATGTCACCAACAATAAAGTATGTCCATTTATTTACATTTAGGTATTTTTATCTTAACTTTATTGCCTTGAGTTTTTTTTCAGTAAATTAATTAGATGAAGAACCTTGATTTCAAATAGAGTTATGTCCCCTTGCTCGGAAAAAGGGGGTTAGAAAAGGCTGAATAGGCTTGGACTGTAAAGGGTTAAATAACAGTACAGAATGTATAGGTGCTATATGATGAACAAATGTTTTTTATTTTGTATTTACTGTCACCCCAATGTTCAATAATAAATCTTTAAATAAATTCAAAAAGATGTTGGAAAGATTGGACAAAGCAAATCTTAAACTGAAACGCTGTGACTTTATTCATGATAACATTTGTATAAAATATTTGAATTTACACTTTTAGTTTGAGTGCTTATCTGCATAATCATGTTACACTTTTAGTTTGAGTGCTTATCTGCATAATCATGTTACACTTTTAGTTTGAGTGCTTATCTGCATAATCATGTTACACTTTTAGTTTGAGTGCTTATCTGCATAATCATGTTACACTTTTAGTTTGAGTGCTTATCTGCATAATCATGTTACACTTTTAGTTTGAGTGCTTATCTGCATAATCATGTTACACTTTTAGTTTGAGTGCTTATCTGCATAATCATGTTACACTTTTAGTTTGAGTGCTTATCTGCATAATCATGTTACACTTTTAGTTTGAGTGCTTATCTGCATAATCATGTTACACTTTTAGTTTGAGTGCTTATCTGCATAATCATGTTACCCTTTTAGTTTGAGTGCTTATCTGCATAATCATGTTACCCTTTTAGTTTGAGTGCTTATCTGCATAATCATGTTACACTTTTAGTTTGAGTGCTTATCTGCATAATCATGTTACACTTTTAGTTTGAGTGCTTATCTGCATAATCATGTTACAGTTTTAGTTTGAGTGCTTATCTGCATAATCATGTTACACTTTTAGTTTGAGTGCTTATCTGCATAATCATGTTACACTTTTAGTTTGAGTGCTTATCTGCATAATCATGTTACACTTTTAGTTTGAGTGCTTATCTGCATAATCATGTTACACTTTTAGTTTGAGTGCTTATCTGCATAATCATGTTACACTTTTAGTTTGAGTGCTTATCTGCATAATCATGTTACACTTTTAGTTTGAGTGCTTATCTGCATAATCATGTTACCCTTTTAGTTGTGCTCATCTGTATAATCATGTTACCCTTTTAGTTGTGCTCATCTGTATAATCATGTTACCCTTTTAGTTGTGCTCATCTGTATAATCATGTTACCCTTTTAGTTGTGCTCATCTGTATAATCATTTGAATAGCAGCAATAAAAGAAAGTATTCTGATATAAAACAATGCAGATCAATAAATGCCAGACTGTAGAAACATGTGGGCTGGATGACATATAAACAGACTGTACTCACTTTACATGTGACATGTTGTACAGAGGGTCATATAAGTTAGTCACTTTCATTCTACTTGTCTATTCCTAGAAATCACCAGCACAGCCCAGATGACCAGTGATGACAGAAAAGTTAACATCAGCAACAGGCTGGGTGGGATAGCTAAACTTTACATAAGTGCAGAAAGATATTTCCCTGTTGGTGAGTTGTTGATCTTTGGCTTAAAAATGGGTTTCTTAAAAGTTGTCCTAGTAAATGGCTTTACATGAACACCATTTAAATATGAAAGCATTCATTAATACTTCTTTCATGTTATAGAACAATTCAGAATTGATATATTCCAGCTGTTACCATTTGATTTCACAGATTTTAAACAAGAGAAATCTTTATAAAAAGAGTACGCTATTAAAAAGAATATTTTTAAAAAAATGTTTGATTTTAAACAAATCAAACGTGTTTCCATTCCCCCCTTACTCTTCTCAATATTTGTGGATTTTCAATCTGTGAAATAACTCATTTTAAATATGACAAAGGTTTTGGTTAACAGGTTATAGCAGACCTGTTTACTCTTACGATTTTGGCGTACAATGTACGATTTTTAGATGTCTTTTACGATTGTACGCCGAGACCCGCCAAAACTACGATTTTCAGAGACCCACCCGGTGAACAAATATTTGTGTCATTTTGTCCGATTTAAACAAATATTAAAAATGTTCGGTTGTGGAAGCTTTAGCCCTTATGGCCCCGCATTGAATGGACCCAGAAAACAACGATG